TTCGCACAGAACGATGATTCAAATCCACCTGGCTTAACAGCCTGTGACACGGACTCCGCTAGCGATAGTGGCATTGATGACGTCAGCTTTAGCGAAAGCGGGTCTCCACTAAAAATTCAAGTAGACAAGAGTGAAGAGCATAACACTAATTATGAAAATTATACAACTCATCAAATGGATCCGAAACAAAAGGACATGTTACTAATGAAATGCATGAAAACGAATTTAATTAGAAGTCCAGCAGCTACACCACCACCGTACAGTGTGAATAGTGCACCACCGCCTTTACCACCACCTCAGGCTAGTCAAATTCTAAACGAACGTGCTAGTGCTAACATCGATACAAATCTGGATTCAGATATTAGTAGCTGCGTCCAAAGTCGCAAAAACTCGATATCCAGTCTTCTAGATGACGCTAACAATCCGTTAAATACACCGTTTTTAATGGAGTTGGGCAACGACGATTACAATATGACCACCGAGCCATATCTGGAGACAAATGATATTGAGCATGTACTAAACGAATGGACGCACGAAATGGCCTAGTACGAAATGAAACTGAAGGCGAAGCGAAAAATGAAATACGAAAAAAGAAATGCAAAACGCCTGTAACTAATGAACATTTCCTTTAACCAATTTAACTTTATAGATCCTTCTGAATAATCCTGGAATACAAAGCTACACACATATGCACACACACACACATGTGGATATATATTAGAATAGAAGAATAAAAACGAATGGGCGGACTCAATCGTACCCAAACTCAAACACACTGACACACTAGTTACACAATTTGAACGAACGAATGCGTTAAGTTTAGTTTTTAAATTAAAAAAATTTTTTTTTTCAATTTAGTTTATAAGTAAAATTGTTTTTGGAATAAACTCAGCATTTATTTATGTTGCATTTATAACATTAATTTATAAAGTAGGTATATTGAGCATCAAGACAATATTTCTAACAGTTATGACAGTTTTGAAATATGGTGGAAACGATATTCTTAACGATGTTATCTTAAAAACATAGAAATATAAAGGCATGCATTTTGCTTCTACTAAAAAAATCATAAATTTTATGTTTTATTTGGTTACTCAATATTTCTAACAGTTATGACAGTTTTGAAATATGGTGGTAACGATATTGTTAACGACTTTATCTTAAAAACATAGAAATATAAAAGCATGCATTTTGCTTGTATTAAAAAAAATCCATAAATTCTATGCTTTTTTTTTGGTTACCCATTAGTGTTGAATTTCTCTTAAATGAAAATTAATTTGATTTATTTCTTACTTTAAACGTAAATAAATGCTGAAATATAGTAAAAACTTTTATAAAAATTCAAAATTCGAAAAAATCAAAAAAAAAAAATATTCGTGTTAGCTTAGTAAGTAAACAATTTTTACTGCCTAAAACAGAAGAAATACGTTAAGATTTAGAAATAAAATTTTTAATAAAAAACTAACCATAAAAAAAAATTATTTAAAAAAAATATCATAGTTTTCAGAAAAAATATTGTAATAAATAATATTTAACAAAATTTATTTATATAAATACATTTTTGAACGAAAGTAATTTGGTGAAGGCTTAGTTTTGCATTAAAAATCAAAAAATCAAATCAATTAAAATGAAAAAAATTTAAATTTTTTATAAATGAAAACTATGATTTAAGAAATTTTTTAAAAAAAAAAAAATTATATATATAAAAATACTTTAAAATATAATTGAGGTACATTTTTAAAAAGCAATTTTCTTTATAAATTTTTGATTATTTACAACTTGAAAACAAATTAATTTTAAATTTAATAATTTTAATTTTAGTTAAAATAATTTTTTCATTTTATAATTACTAGAAAATCAGTAATTATTAAAAAAATAAAGAGAAAAGTGTAACAACATAAATATACGACAAAAAACCTTTTTTGTTTTCTAAAAATAAATTTATTTTACACTAAAACGATTCCATTAAATAATTATTGTCAAGTAGTAAAAAAAAAAACAAAAATATCCTTTTTTCAAAATTTCAAAATAATGATGATGTCCTTTATGAAAGATCAATTTCAAACATAAATCAAACTTAATTAAAATTGTAATAACTTGTAATAAATATATATGAATTGCTTTATAAAACTATAAACTGTAAAATACTAGTAAAATAGTATCTGGAAATAAGTATCTACAATTAGTAGTCGTTTTCTAAAAATTTATTCATAAGTTGATGTGTTGGGCACCTGCAATTAAGCACTTTACGACTATCTAATGTTTCATGCAAATTTCAATTTATTTTTGTATTATTTTTGTTTCTTTGGAATTGTTTATTAATACTTTTTATTTTAAAAGTTAGATTCTAATTATATATCTATATACATATGTAAATTTAATTAATTATTTTACAACGTTCATTTCTTCTGTTTTAATTAATATAAAAAATTTATGTAATATCCGCATACAGGCATATTTCATTCTATGTTTATGATGTTCTTTAGTCTTGTCTATGTTTGTGAAAAGTTGATTTGACAAATTTATTAAATAAACAATAAGTGAATATTAATTCCGAGTATCTTTAATTTATTTGATTGAATCGGTAAGCATAGTTATTATATATAACTCTATATAAACATCTTTAAGAACTTATAAATAAAACAATGTCCTCATTTAAAAACTATTAGAAAAAACTATTACCTTTTACAGTAAGAACCCTTTCAGCGCAATTAATTTTCATTAATCAATTCAAACAAAAAATAAATTTCATGAAAAATTTAGATATTATTGAATGTTTCTGATATTTTGACCATAACTAGATAATCTACAACCTTCCAGCTTATTTTTTGAAAAGCTTTTCATTGGTAATTCATCACCGCGTTATCGAATTTCAGAATGGTTACAGGTTCCTCGGGGAGGCATGCAGATCTGAGGTCAATTATTGCGTAGTCTGATGAAGTGATAAACAATAATCCAGTAAAGGCGTAGAGACGGGTTATGAAGAAATCACGCAGCTAATAGAAGGTAAATGTGCTCAAGTGTACTGACTCAATTAGCTTCAACATAATAAGAAGGAAATATTCAATAATGCACAGTTTATTTCGATGTTCTGAATGTGTTCCTTAAGTAATCTGTTTGACCAGCTTATCCAATGCTATCTGTGTGATCGGTAACCTAAAGAAGAGAAATGTTTAACCACGTTGGCATCTCAAATACAGTTACGTTTCAGCTTAAAACTGTCAAAGATAAAATATTATACCAAACTCAAGATCTTTAAAGCATATATACATTCCAATTCAATATATTATCCACTTCAAGGGAAACCAAAGCAATAATTTCCGCTTAAAAGAGTCTACAATGATGAAGAAGTCTATTATATTTGTTTATATCTAGTTTCGAGAATAAAACTTCACTATCTATCTATCCCATTACCTGTCATAGAACTGCTAATATATTACATATAAAGTTAGAAAATAGTATGTGCGTCTTATGCCTAATGAAACAACTAAGTTGTTGTTTCGTTACCTGTGTAATTAAGGTAAGTATAGGTCATTCTCCTAATATTTCCCTACTTGCAAAAAAGGTGTACTTTCTCTATGGTATAATGCAGTCCATTTTAAAGGTAATTAGCAGGTTTTTGGGGATTGGCTAAAAATATAGCCGTATAACAATAGGTAAGTAAATGACAACGGAATTTAAATATATATATTATTATTCGCAAAATCATTTGATTTGGACCAAACCATAACACCTGTCAAATAATTGTATTAAAATAAAGCTGTATGAATGTTCATTGAAATAAGGATGTACTCAAACATTCTATTTCACAATTCCAATATAGTTGTTATGAAGAAAGTAAAAATAATCGAGCATACTTTGACACGACTTTGCTACATTGGATCCCACTCAAATTATCAATAATTCTAAAGTGAGGGTATAGAATCCCTGCAAGTAGCGTAAAACCTTGGATATCCCTTGTTTAGATTGCATCTATTTGTAGCCATGTGTATGTATTTTTCATTTGAAAGATAAAAGAAAACATTTAATGTGCATTTTTTGCTGTGAAGTACATAAAATCAAGATCTGGCTACCTGCGTTGTACGGGCGTTTCTTCAGTATAAAAATCTGAGTCAGGTAGTCTAAAAAGGACTATGTGAATTCATTAAAAAGTAGTGGAAAATGATTTTTTAAAAACTCGGATAAATTTGATTTTAATGCTACCTTGTTAAAAATTTAACGACCTTCACAAATATTTTTCCGGATTTCACTTTTTCAACATTATTCTATTTGTATGATATATAATAAATAATTTAAAAACTAGAATCATCATTAAAATCGGTTCCATCTTCTCCAGTATCAGCATATGTTCCTACAAAACTTATCTCACTAGTCTACGCAATTGGTAACTTCGCTCTATAACATCCATATTATTCCTATGTCCATAAGTGCACTTCTTAAAAACTTTTCAACTACGATGGGGTCCAAAAAGTTTTGGTACACCATTTACCTAATACGCGGACGGACAGACTAGTTCCAAGCACTTTTGTTTGACCAGGAACGAAGCCTTATTATAATTAATATTATTTAAAAATTGTCTCAATACTCTCTTTTACCAGGCGAACAGAATTCAAGAAATATCTTGCATACCAAATCCATTTTCCTGCCAGAGTGTATGACAATTTTCACTGTAGGCGATATGAGTGTGAGAGCTTTCAATCAAGGTGACCATCTGCACATTTGCACGAATACAAAGGTACACATACAATCCACACATTTCGTCAATTTCGAATAAAGTTAATCCACAGCATTAAGCTTTTGTAAGCTTTCAGATTTTCCAAAGCGAAATGAACGAAGCAATTTCATACGCAAATGAAATTAATTAATAAATTAAACATCGCTGTATATATTATTTCTCAACCCATCTTGGAAAATCCTTAGTCACTAGTTACAACGTCACCACCCAACATATATAAAAAAAAGCCTTTGTCTGTTTAAATAAAATTTAATCAACCAATATTCACTTGTCAAAATACTTAAACCTATACAGAAAATATATTTAATATATATAATTATTTATATAAAATGTTTTTGTATATTTAACACAAGTTATTAGAAAACGCGATAGGAAATGCCTCGTAATCGAAACAGTATGTTCGGAGGTTTCTTAAATCACTTTGCACAAATCGTCACATGCACTGCATGCGTTCAGCAAAGTTCTTTAAATTGTTTTTTTTATTAAAATGCTGTCCAATATTTGATTTACTTATCTTATCTAGTGATTTGAAATTAAATTTATTACATTACATAAAACATAACACAATAATTAGTCATACAAACCTATACATAGTTCTGGACACTAATGTAGCACATTTATAATATTCAAACCTTTACTTACACCCTATATACATCGCTTGTGGTACATACGAGTAAATATTGAACTTATATCTATCTCTATCCGAATTTCTTAACATTTGTACTGCAAACTGCAACCGTTTTATAATCTAAATGCACAAAACTAATCTACATAGAAATTGAGAAAAGTCTGGGTCAGTGGTCAATGGTCAGTAAATGAAACGAATATTTTTAGATTAGGTCAAATTTTGCTGTGCTGTTGTTGTTGTGGCTGCTGTTGTTGGAACGTCATTGTTTCCATACAAATAATTATTACTATTGGGCGTGGTGAAGAGCAACGTATTAACGGATGGCAGCATCTGATTCGACTGCATCATGAAGGGCATGCTGACGGTCATCGGCAAGTAAAGTTGATTCAGTAATAGCTGACTCGTTTGAGTTGATGTATGATGTGACGGCAATTGTTCGTCCTCGAATTGCATGGATGGCAATTGTGGCAACAATGGAGAATCGATATTTACGTTTGAAATTGAGGCTGCGTTGTCCATATCGTTTTGTAATTTTATGGGTACCACGTTTGAGTTATTTACTGCCACTGTAGAAGGTAGGAAGAACAAGTTGCCGTTTGCGATTTCAGATTGAAATGGCGGGCAAGTCAAAGGTAGCTTCGTGGAAGATAACTCAATTGAAGCCGGCGATGAAAACGGTGATGATTCCAATGAAGAGCAGATAAGACGTTGATTTGCTCCATTTAATAAAACTATGGTTACAAATGTTATGATATTAGTAATAGTTACTTGATAATGTATTCAACTTCAAAATTACTTACAATTTTCTTCACGCTTTATTTCGTTTGCTGATATTTCTCGTTTTATTTTGAAGTGCATTTCGGCTGCAGTTTCAGCAGAAATAGCGTTGTCCGTATCGACTACAGGCGATTCATATAAGCCGCACTCCTCCATTTGCAGGGCTTGTTCCATTATGAATTCCTCAGCTGAGGTTATGCTTAATGTGTGCAGGTCAGGAAATCCACAATTGTCAACGATTTCGCGTTTTATATTATTCGTGGTTGCTGGCGCTTCTGTAGCTTTTTCTTCGACTGGTGCCTCCTGCACTTGTTTCGGTGTTAATTGCTTTCTTTCGCGTTTTGACTTTTGCATTACAGAGTCCACGTTTTCTCCGGCAATTTCAGTTTTTTTATCAGTGTTTTGCGTTATATCGAGACAATTCTTTTCGTTTTTTTGTTTATCGTTTGCTGCTTGAACGCGTTTGTTATTATTACGTTTTATTTGTGGTTTTGTAACAACTTCCTTATCTGCTTCGTTAGGCTTAGGTGCAATCTTAGGCGGCGCGGCAGGTTTTGTCGCTGCTTTTGTAGATTTTTTGGAACAATATGAAGGAATGTTTTCCAAATGCTCGCCGGTCTTATGATCGACTTTATGGCGTCGACGGGTGTGCTTTAACCAATTAGGAAAGTTTGTAAAATCTCGTGGGCAATAGTTGCACTTGAACGGCCGTTCACCTGTATGTATATTTGAATGTTGCTTCAGCTTGGAATTACTAATGAAAGATTTATCACAAACTTTGCACGCAAACGGCCGTTGCTCCAAATGCACTAGATTGTGAACTTTAAGACACCGTTCCGTTTTGTACATTTTACCACATTTATCGCAACGAAAGGAACGTATTTGTGCGTGGTACTTTTGGTGACGTTGCAAGTGAGATCGTTCCTGGAATCTGAAATTTCAAACATGACATTATACAGAGTTAAATTTATATGCACAATGAATTATGTACCTTTTCTGACATTCTGGACATTCGTAGGGTTTTTCAGCTGTGTGCATGCGTGAATGGTGTGTGAGATTAATTTTCTGCACGAATTTTTGGCCACAAATATCACAGCCGTATTGCTTGTTTTCACTATGAATTTTTCGATGCATCCACATGCTGCCATGCTTAAGACTAACGATAACAATATTAATGAATACTGGTATTAACTTGATTAATTTTTGAGTAAGACTTACCACTTGCCGCATTCGGGGCATATCTTCCAGGTATCTTTGCGTCCATCTGTAGGTCGGTGAGATTTGAAATGTTTCTTGAGTCCAACTTCCTGTTCAAATTCCCGGTTGCATTCGCTGCAAACAAATTTTATATGATGTTTGGCAATATAATGCGTAACATAGTCCTGACGGTCTTTCAGAAAAATAGAATTGCAGTCCAAACATTTAAAGCGCGTGGTTGGAGCTATATATACAGTAGATTCTTGATTTTGGGTGCCCACTGTAGTGGTTGTCGTCGTCGTCGCCGTTGTTGTAGAGACATTTGTAGTGCTACGCGAACACTGAATTGGTTCAGAGCTTGTACTGGAATTTGAGATCGCTTTACTTTTAATGACTAACTTAGCAGCAGCCTCTTGGTCAATTGGCTCCTCCTTAATGGCAGCTGCTGTCTTTGTTGTTTTACAATCGAATTGAGATCCAATCTGATCTTTGATTTTAAATTGTCGAAAGTCTGGTGGACTTTTAACCACTGCCTTTTTAATTGGCGAAAATAGTAATGAACTAGGCGGCTCTGGTCTCACAAAAGTCCCACTAAATGAATTTGGCTGATCATTTTTCACCTTACCCAAGCCATTTGTTAAACTTTTCATAGATGAACAAGAATTAGTAGCATCTCTATCTTGACAAAATTCACGTAAACTTGAGGAATCATGATTACTCATTAGCACATCGTCGAGCTCAGAATTGCGTGCGCTTTCGTCCAGTACACGCCAAAAATCCGATGACGACAGACTGCTACCATTTATTAATCCATCGGCATTAATCGTAACACATGCAGATATATCAATGTCCAGCGATTCATCTTTAATTGAATCGAAATTGTTGTGACGATAAAGTGCACTCAGTATTTCGTCGTTGGACTTTTTAGGCGGCACTTTTTTATTTCGCGCCTCTTCTTTCATTTTGTCATTTACTTTTCTTACACTTTTCATATAAGGTTAGGTATTTTATAAAAGTACAATTTGTTCAGTTATTGATAACGTTAAACAATTATTAAATCACTTTCGAATACGTTGCTTAAGCACATCACACACGACACAAAATTTATAACAAATTATTTTGCTGATAAATTGTAAAAAATATGAAATTATATGAAATGACGCTCGCTTTGTTTTTCTATCTCCCTTTTTCACAAATAAACGCACATCCATACTAAACGCATAGTTCGCTTCGCTAAAGTAAATAAAGCAAAACTCATGAATGATGTTCGAATTTCGAACTTATTTATTTGGAATATTTAAGTTATGCAGAGAGATATGTTAATTCTTACTACACTGATCATTTTTAATAATTAATTTTAATTAATAATTATATTATAGAATATATATAAGTGTTATACAATTTGTTTATATGTTTTTAATCAGCATTTATCTATGAATGATGTAATTAAATTTTTAATTACGAATTTCTGTTTATTTTGCAACCCTGTAAAGCAAGTCAAAGGCTAAATGCAAGAAAGAGAAGTCAAAA